GCTCTCCCTGCACCCGGGCTCCCCCTGGAGCGTTGCGCGCTGCCGCCCCTCGACGCCGCCGCGGGCGGGCTCAAAGCCTACTCCAGCGGCGAGTGCAGCCCCCTGCCCGCCGTCATGCCGGCCTTCACGGTGTACAGCGGAGACCTGCTCTACGGCCCCCCTGCCGCCTATTACCCGCTCAAGCTGCACTTGGGCGGGCTTCTCAAATATCCCGAGTCCATCTCCTATTTGAGCGGGCCCGCGGCGGCCGCGGCGATCGGCCCGGCGGAGCTGGGCTCCCTGGCCAGTATCGACCGCGAGATCGCCATGCACACGCAGCAGCTTTCCGAGATGGCGGCCGGCAAGGGTCGCACCCGCCTGGACTCGGGGACTCTGCCTCCGGCCGTAGTGGCAGCGACAGGCAGCGGCGGCGGGGGCGCAGCAGGCAAGCCCAAGACGGGCCACTTGTGCCTCTACTGCGGCAAGCTGTACTCGCGCAAGTACGGGCTCAAGATCCACATGCGGACGCACACGGGATACAAGCCGCTCAAATGCAAAGTGTGCTTGCGGCCCTTCGGCGACCCTAGCAATCTCAACAAGCACATCCGACTGCACGCGGAGGGCAACACGCCCTATCGCTGCGAGTTCTGCGGCAAGGTGTTGGTGCGCCGCCGGGATCTGGAGCGTCACGTCAAATCCCGCCACCCGGGCCAGAGCCTGATCGCCAAGGCGGGCGACGGCCCGGGCGCGGAGCCGGGCTATGCCCTGGAGCCTGGGGATCCCAAGAGCGAGGACAGTGATGTGGACGTCTGCTTCACCGACGACCAGAGCGACCCTGAGGCTGGGGGCCGAGGCGAGCGCGACTCCTAACGCTTCGGTGGAAAGGGAAGGGCTGTGGACAGACTAGAGAGAGGTGGTGACAGGAAGGACTTGGTTGATACTGTCCTTATTCTTGGGAGGGTGCTGGATTTGCAACAGTGAGCTTCTCCAGTTCTGGAATGGAGCAACGTTTGAGGATGGGCAGAAAAACAGTCAACAAACAGCCCGTAGGGCATGTGTCTCCATAATTCAGGCCTTTAGACTCTGGCATAGACCCTCTTCCTGCAGGCATTCTGGTCTTGGGGTTCAGGATCACATTAATATAATCATCTCAGTGCCCTCAAAGGTGATGATTTTTAACTGTCACACGTTTTTGAAAACGTTCTTTTCTGTGGCGGAAATCGTGCCTTTTGAAAAGATGTTTAGCGTAAATTTTGTTAGCATTTCACTGCATAGGCCAAACAGTAGCTGTGACACCCACATACATGTTTCCGTTTTTTAGCTGTTCTCCTGTCAAAGACCACTCCTTGCCACCTTGTGTAGACTGTGGTAGTGGGTGCACAAATTGGTCAAGTTGCAATTATTTATGAGAGAATAATGATAAATGTAAAATAACGCATGAATCTACGAGCACGCAATATATGAATTTTAAAGAATATCCTATTTGGTAGACTTCAAATGTGTATGTTGTTTTTTATAATGAATGATGTCCAGTGGATACAGTACTTTGCTCTTGTTTCCATTTTGTGCAATCTTTAAAGATAATAAAGATACAAACGAGAGTTCGATGACTTGGCAACTTCAGAGGACCCTTTAAAGCAGTAGTTCAATTCGAGAACAACCACTGAAGAAACTTCACAAGATAAGTCAGAGAAGATCTACATTATTCACAGAATTAATCTTAATCGGGGTTGTACAGAGAGCAGGCAAAGTCCATTGGTTTCTAAAACCATTGTTAATCATGCTAAGTGATTTATGTTCACTTCAAGGACCCTCAAGGAAAAGCAAACACGAACAAAAAAAAAAAACCCAACCCCCCCCCCCCTTTCCTTGGAAGTGCTTAAGTCTTCTTGTACTTCTTCCATCAACTTTGAGCTGTCAGTTTTGGCCCCATTTTCCAGAAGAGGAAGCGTGACTTGATCATAGTGTACAGACAGTAATTAGAACAGCAAAATTGTTAGCGGTGACTGGAGTTGCTATTTTTTAAAAGTGATGTTAGATCTATATTCTAGGAAGAATACCCCCCCCCCTTTTAGAAGCAGGGAATGAGGCCCTTAGTTAAAGTCAGGTACACTGAGGGCCCAGGTCTGCAGCTGTTTTCTCAGAGGTTAGTTCAGACAATTTGCAGGGTTCTCATGGCCACAGTCACCCAACCTTGTCCTTTGAATCACGAATCCTGAATGCTTTGCAAGTCCCCAGTGCTGTTTCCAGATTGGAAACACTGTCTTGGTCACTAGGTGGTGGCAGGAACTTTTTTTGTACATCACAGCCACGAACATTTGATTTCTATTAATGGTGATCTTCCAAAAGATTCCTTTTATGAGGAGATGCAAAGATGTGTGCTGGGAATTATAGGCTTTCAGTGCTAGCTGACTAGAGATTGTCTTGTTGCCTAAGGGAGAGCAGAAAGGGGATGATGCAGGCAAAGAGACAGAGACAGAGAGATGCAGATACAGAGACAGAGAGACAGAGATTTGTGGGCATAATGGGAACACACTTTTGTTGAGGAACTCTTCTGGACTCCTTGCATTTCTTCCCTCTAGGAAGGAGGTTCAGGGATGGTCTTGATACTCAGGACTAGAAGGCACCCTAAGCTCTGTAATTCAGTTTTCCACCGCCTGCTTAGCTACCATGTTTTATCCTTTGTAATAGCGGTAACTCGAAAGCAGATGTATCCTTGGACAGCAGGTTGAAAGAATTTTTTTTTCTGACATCAGATCTTGTAAGTCCTCAAGGGAAAATTAGGAGTCCAGATTTGAAACATGGAAAAAATATTCTATTAACTATAAAATTATAGCCTGTACTATGTTTCCTAGATCAGTACTAGTTACTGTAACTTCTGTTTGGTGGAAAAATAGTCAATAAACAAACAAGAATTGTTTGGTTAAATGAAATACATGGAGAATTGATTAAATAAAATACACTGAGAATTTATATTGATTTGGTAAAACAAAGCTTCAGCCACCCGTTTCTCCCTTTTAGACTAGATTATAACATTAAAAATAAAAACTAATCATAGATTTTCAAAGTTCTTAATTGCAGCTTGTTTATAATTCTCCATAGACTGAGTAAGACAACCCCGTTCTTTGTTCATGCTTTGAATCCTAACTCCAGAGATAATTAATGCCATTGTTTATCTCTCCATCAAAGTCCAATCAGCAAGCACAGTCAGCTAAATGAAGCTTTCTCAGCTTTTCTCAAAAAAAGTTTTCTTGAGACAAGATTTTGCTACGTGCCCTAGACTGGCCTTGAACTTAGGGAATCCTCGTGCTGGAATTCAGGCATCCGTCCCTTTCTTCTTACTCCCTTCTACTCAATAGTTCTTATATTGGTGACCATAACTCATTCTGAGAGCAGCGCCAGAGGTACTGAGTATTTCCTAGATTTTTAACAGAATATTCTGTGCCACGGTATGAAATAAATGAAAAAAAAAAAAAGAATAAGAGGAGAACGGCTCATGTCTTTCTGAAGTGAAAGGCTCCAGATTGTTTAGCATTATTTAAGTTGGGTATTGAAAAGTTTTGCTAACTTAAATAGGTCAGGAATATCTGGGTTTTGGTGTTGCCGCTGGCACTTACTAGCGTCGCATTTTGGCCCAGACGCTCTATTGCTACTGTTTCTTCATTTGTAACACAGGGGTAAAATAAAGCAATACGGTAGTTTGTGCACTCTAAGGTGCATCATGCCTGGTGCACAGGAAGCTCTCACTTCTACTCTAGTAAGTTGATATCTGCTATCACTTAAGATTTCGCCACTAGGAGAAGGGCTGGAAGCAAGGTTTTCTAAGCAGTGACAGCTTGTGTAGGACACCAGTTTTGTTCTTCTAGCTTTGGGAGAAGACACATAATTTTCCGTACATAGAGGCTTTCTAAACCTGAAGAAACCTTTGCAGACTTCTTGTTTGATTTCCACTGTAAGCCCAGAAACTAGTTTCAAAGGCTGATGGCGCGGAGAGAATGCTGTTTTCGTTTCCAGTTACTAAGTTTTGAAAAGTTTGGCTGGTCTATGAGGGTTGCACTTAAGCAGAAGCTCAGGGAAGAGAAGAGCACGCGCACATTTTAGTCCACGGGAAAGCCAAGACTAGAGAAGAATTGTAGGTCTGGCTGTGGTGGGGAAAAAGCTTTTAGTGATTCTAAGCTCCGAGCAAGAGACCGGTAAGCGCTGTTGAGCTTGTGGAGTTGGCGGAGTTGAGCCGAATGGGCGGTCATTGTCCTTATTCCTACAGCTCCCATTGGCTCATCCCTTGCAGACAGGGCTGCTATTGGTGGCGGACCAGCAGTGCGCTGGAGCCCGGGCGGCGGCCGCGGTACTTCGGGAGCCTTGCTACGCTGTAAGACCCGGGGTACCCGGTGCTAGAGGCGCTCTCCGTGCAGTTTCAGCGATTCTGCTTCGTTTTCCCAAGGACAGGAGTTTCCGGGTTGGGCAATGGAATGGCAGTTTCACCTGCTTTGAGAGCACAGCCCAGGAACCCCTGGAGCAAAAGAGCTCTGCAAAAACCCCTGCGACCCTTGGCAGGCGAGGGGTCGCAGCCCGGCTTGTCTCTGGTCCGGGCCCTGCCCGGCTGCGACAGAGAGCTGAGCACCAGTGTCCTACGCTCTCGCCATCTGCCACCTCCCCAAAGGGAAGAAGGCAGAGGCACCCGCATGGCCGAGGTCATATGTGACCCTTGACCACCCAGGTGTGAGAAACACAGGGAGGACTCAACAGACGGCGCAGCCCAAGTGTTTAGTTCCAGAAGGAGCTCCCGGCTTGCTCGCTAGGAGCTGGGCGACCTTCTATAAAAGATGAAAGGCGAGCTTCTGTCATCTGCAACTATGGTTTAATTCAAATTAGGGGAAAACGTGCGACAGACAACTTGTTAATGCCTTTGACTTGGAAACCATCCAAGGGTCCTACAAAAAGGGACCAAAATTGGATGGATAGCCCCTTTAAAGACATTGGTTTCATTTTCAGTACAACATATTATTTAAACTTAGACATTTTATGTAAATAGATCAAAAATCTAATAGACAAGCTTATTGAAAAATGTACAAATCATACCACCAAAGGGAGATTTGATTATTTGAGTTAAACAGATAAAGACAAAGGTCTTTTTTAATGTAGCTTGAATAAATTTAAATTTCGTTTATAATGAAATATATAAGTTATCTAAATATCCTGTCTTCACTTCCCCTGTTCATGTGCACTTTTTCATAGTTTGTTAGTGCAGACATGAATGCAGATGCACACTTCCTATCTTTAATGTTGTCAGTGTAATAATCTTCCTGAAGTTACCCTAAGCAGGGGATTGTTTAAAATCTAAGGTTCTGCGACAGTTTGTGTCCAAATTGGGGGGGGACTCAGTTTCTTGTAGACTAGAAAGCTGTGTGTGGAAATGAATTGTGCAATGGGAGACACACTGAGATGCAACAGCAGTTGGCTTTACATGAGACAGTGAAGGTCAAAGGTTTCTTTAAATCTCTTTTTATACATCTACTGAAAAAGAAGCAGGAAGATACAATTTATGTCTGACACTGAGAAGTTCATTCCTGTATTATTGCCGTAAGGAAAATGGAGCCACGACCAGGTCAGATTCAGATTAACTTGGGGGCATTGGGCCACAGAGGCACACAACTGTGAGCAATAAAATGCTTTCAGGTATGCTAACAGTCACTCCAATGAGGAGTGAGTCAATGTGGGCTGTCGCATTTTATAAGCTTCTTTGTGGTTTTCAGAGAGCAGGAGAAAGAAATGTCTCAACAATCAAGACAATACAGAGAGAAGAAGATACACAGGGAGCTGATAGGATGGGTTTTCTAAATGATTTAAGGCTAACGTGCTGAAATCTAGTC